TTTTTCAGTGCTGCAGCTGCTATTCACAGTATGTGCTTGATGAAAGTGAGACTGTATATTTTATGTTCTTGTTGAAACTGTTGCAATCCATTATGAATCAGATATTCCAGCTTGCTGAGATTGAGTATGACAATAAGCAACTTATGTCCCAATTTACTTAGAAAGGAGTAGAAGAATTTGGCTTTAGTGTCTTCTGCAGATTTCCTCTCTTAGAAATTGCTGTTGTGGACTGTAAATATTTGACTCTCTGCAAATAAATGGCTTCATCATGATGGACTAAATTGGCTTTGTTTTCATACCCTTGGGTATACTTTAAAATGTGTTTTAGACCTCCGAAGAAATTCAGAGGAGGGAGCTGAATCTCTGATCTTTCTCATCCTGGTTAAATACTGAATACCAGGAGGTGGTTCAGTGGAATTTCTTCCACTGCTTAAGGGAGGACCTTCATTTCACTAGGCAGGTTCACCATGACACTTAAGAGCCTAGAGTTTTTTTACATATTTTGTGATGATGCTTTTTTATTTTTTTCCTCTCCAGTTGGCCACCCTCAGCATATCCATGATCAGCCTGCTTAGTTGTCAATTCCTGAATTTGTGGCTTTGCTCATTTTCAGTATTTGTGTTGATTTTGATTGTTATTGTAGTAGGATACTTTACTGTCAGAAATCTTGTAGGGATTGCAGGGATCTACAATGACCTTAAGGCTTATGTAATGATTGAGTACATGCGAAACAAGAAGTTCCTCAAACACAAGAATAAAAATCTGAAGTGGCAGCTGGAGAGCTAAAATTGTCTTTCATTTGGGTAATTTATTATTACAGCTTAAAATTCTGGTATTTGTTTTCTTTGGACTCTTTCATTTCCATCCATTTCCCTGTTCCTAACTAGTAACTTTCTGATTTACTTTTATTAATATCCTTTGTTAATGTGTACAGGTATCTTTCTAACCATGTAGACTGTATTACATGAAGTGCAGAGCGGAGATCTAGTTTTCAGTGAGAGTAATGATAAAAAAACAACATTTTTCTCCTATTTTCCATTAAGTTTGCAGTGCTGAAGAAGAGTTCTTGGATACCAAAAGGAAGAATCAATTTTGTATCACAAAGAATATATCTTGAATATATTTAAAGTAAACCTTTACCTTAAACTTTAGACCTTATATATAAAGATCCTGTTGTCTTCATTGTTTGTAAAATAAATAAATAAATAAATCTGAGCATAGATATTTGTGAGGATTAAGATTTGGAGTATTTTTTTAGTGATACCATAAGTATTTCAGTAAAAGCTCCATTCTATCTGTAAAGTAAACAGAAACCAGCCCTGTTTCCTTTACAAAATGAAATGGCATTTGTAAAAGCACATCAAAAGCTCAGGTTTGTCCATTAAAAGGGTGTTATTCCACCCTTGGTACACTGAATGAAAATTAAAGATGGAAATCAGTTTTACCTCAGGATGACACTTGCAGTCATGATGGCACATGAATTTCTCAAAATGGAACTGTTCAACACAGATGATTATTGAGCGTAGATTCTAGAATAGGTATCACAAAAAATGTGTGTATATATATGTGTGTATATATATATATATACACACACACACACCGCATATATGACCTGCCTTATGGTAGTGAGAGGGGAAAAGAAGTAGTTTTTATTTTAATAGGCATGGGGAAAATAGTATCAACAGAGAATGCTGCAAACTTTCATTTAATAGATATTTCACTCAAAATAGCTGTTACTGGTCTCACACGTAAAAACCTTTGTGTAAAAATTGTTTATAAAAATTAACGGCCATTTAATGACTGAGAGTGGCTTGCAACAGTTGTTTTATCCATAATCATATTGGAAAAGATAGTTTGGCAAAAATGTCAAGCAGTATCAGTCTTTTCCTGCTGCTGGGCTCACTTGGTGATAGGATGGTTCTGTTGCTATTATTTTTAGGTTTTTATTTTGTTTCTGTATTGGTTTCTATCATTCTGCATTTTGGTTTTAAAATGAACTGGTTCTAAAGATCCCCTATGTTCTAGCTGACTGATAATTTTTACTTCTTTTGGATAATTCTCTAGGGTTAGAGTTTTGTTGTTGTTTTTCCTTTTACTGTGTTTTTATAATTTCTAGTAACTGTAGTAACTGCTGGTGTGCACCCTTCTCTTCATGTAATAATCCGTAATGACTTCCATGTTGCTTCCAAATGCACCTTTGTAGGAAAAGCTTAGGTTGATGCTTTGAAGCTTGCCTCTATTTTTGTCTTTATGGTTGACAATTATTTTTTTTTCTCTAAGCTTATTTTTTTGCACTTTGGGAGTGACCTACAGGTAGAATTATGTCTGATTTTTTTATTCCACTCTTCTGAAATTAAGTAAAAAACGTGGGGTGCACAGTTGCATTAAAGTTAACTTGAACTTGAAATGTTTTGAATTTGAAACAGTTACACAAGTGAGGTGAAGAGGAATAATTTTGAGTGTTAGTGAAGTAATTTGAGTTACTTCAAAGAACCAATGGACAGACCCGTAGTCACAGCATTTGAACACGGCAGAATGAGACCTCACAAGAAGTTCGCTCAGTTGACTTAGCTATCCCAGTCTTAAATTGTATCTTAAATATTTATCTATTGAATTGACCTTTTTCTTTAAAAAAACTAATGAAGAATATGGGGCTTTTTATATTTTAAACTCTAGCATTCAGTGTAAGCTGCATTTTTCAAGGTGTGCCTTCCTTTATATTGTTTGTGGGGTGTATATCAATTTTTCTGGCCCTTTGCTTCATTGTTCTTTTGGTCCATCTTGCTTTTGATGAGTCTGAAGGATTTCTCCGTGTTAGCTGTAGCCTCCCCTTTAAGGCAGGACAATGTTTGTCATTTATTTGGAATCCATGCTCTTGCAATCAATTGATTTTTAAAGGACACAAGATAAGGCCATGGGTAGTTGCTTAAAGGTCAAGATATATGTTTTATTTCAGATTGGGAGTGTACATCTAAAATTAATTTCTTGAGTGTCTTCACTCACTTTGCTTTTATTTGTTGTGCAGTTGTCCCTGAATATACTTACTTAGGTTTAAGTGAAACGAAATAGAAAGGTATGCTGCAACCACTTACCGGCATTCAGCTAGGTAAGAGCTGTTTTGGACCAATCCTCCCAAAATTCATGCAGTACGGACCTCAGTTCTCGGCATGAGTTGTATGCTCTATGCATTCACTTGCAGTAAGATACAGTATCTGCAATTGCAGGTGCAGCCGAAGTGAAGATGCAACAAATTGCCTGATCCTAGTGCCTGTAAAAAACATAGGGTTTATATGCAGTAGACTACATGTAATTCAACATGATTTCTATGATCTATGATATAATAATTTCCTTTAATAAGCTGATGATTTCTCTGTTTATTTTGATGACTTCCTTGCACTTTGTTTACATTTTCCTCCTGTATTTCTTTAAATCACTTTTACATCACATAAGTTGCTGAAATGTTCTAGCCAGGGTTGTTGTTTTTTTTTTAAAACTTCTGTTCTGTTTGAGGTATTCAAGTGGCTTTAAAAACATTTAAAAGATACACTAGTTATAGAATCAACTGCCTGTAGTTTCTTTACATCCATTTGAAAAGTCTTAAATTCAACTGGGTGTTATTTCTCACTTTTTCTCTCTTGAGCTATTGGGAAGTGCATTTGGGAATTAGTTGCAGGATGTTAAAACCACAGGAGGTGTATGTTGTTTTTCAAAGTAGCTGTAGCATTCTACTGTTTGCTTCATCCACCCGATGTCTGTTTTATTTAAAGAAGCATGGGGGAGGAAGGGCAAAGTGCTGGATCCTAAAGTTTTAATTTAGATTTGCTGTTACTGAGGTATAAGTTTGTTTCTGTCTTCCTGCCACCCGAAAGAGGCTAGCTTTTGTTTGAAATGCAGTTGAAAAAGAATAGTTTGGTAATATTGGAGATGCAAGTAAGGTAAACAGTATATTACTGGTCTTACCCCTTCATTTCTGGTCCTTAAGAAGAGAGTATTTTGGTCATAAATAATTTGTGTTAGCTTTAAATTGTACAGGTAGTGTGCTTATTGTCAGAATTTACTGAGGGGGAGGGTGAATGAGATGAGTTAGTGTTAGTCCCTTCTGGAAAGGGAGGGCAACAAAACAAAATCAACACCTCTGCTACTTTAAAAAAAAATACACAATAGAAATTTTGCCTGGTTTGCCTTTATGGCATGTGGTATATTACATTTTAGGGAAACAGGCTTGGCTTTGGCAAAACTACTAGCAACAACCCTTCTTTGGGCCTGCTAGAAGCAAATATGAGGTGTACCAGGGGAACAGTTATGATCTGAAAATTCTATGTCAGGAATCTGTGTGGTTGATTTTAAGTAACTGTTTCAGAAGACTCAAGACTGCATTTTAGAAATTAGCTCTCTTTTATTCTTAAACTAGCTAGCAAGTTTCAAGTGAGCACTCTCTGCAAGATACTCCGGAAGCCTGGTCGAGGAGTGCCAACATGGAGAAAGTTTTTTGGGCAAGAGCCAACTTAACAAATGCAAGCAGGCAAGCTTGTGTCCAGACTTGTGTTTCAGCTTACGCTGAAGGGATATAAAGTCCTTAGAGCTCAGGCACCGAGGCATACATTGCAGGAAAAATACTGCTGTACAGTGTGCACTGTACAATGTGCACTGTTCAATTTGCTGCTGTGTTCGATGTTGGAGGATTAAGGGGAGGGGAAAAGATCAACTACCCAGGATGCTCTGTTAGGAGGAGTAAGTGAATTTGATTGTCGTCAGAGCTAGATTGCCATATGAGTTCTGAAAAGCGTTTGGCTCCTGAGGATAACTGCTCTAAAAATAGATCTGGAGGAGAGGTTTCTCTTGGGTCCAGTTTCAGGTTCCAGCTGAGCTGGCTTTAAGAAACCTTTTTGCTCCTGTTGCAAGACTACAGTGAAGAGAAAAAAAATCTTACTCTGCCTTCAGCATTAAATTTTTGGAGATAACAACACTCTTGCTCTCTGCAGAAATCGAGCACTAATGTTATGGCTGACGACACAGGTACAGTCCTAACCTCTTTGTGAACAAATAGAAAATTTGTAGTTGCAAGTACCAGCTGTGTCTGATTTTGTACTCAGAAAAATAACTGGTTTACTCTGATATGTTGTTGTTTTCTATCGATTTTGCTGTTCTACTCTGTGTTACAGGCTGACTGTTCTCTGTATGACTAAATGCTCTCTAGAGTAGAGTATTTTGTAAATTTATTGCAGTGGTTAATTTTGACTTAATTTTTGCTTGAGGAGAGCACACATTAACATAAGAGACGTTGTTTTCTCTTCAAATAGCTGACTTGAAAATTAGTTTTGGTGTATGTGAAATTACTAGGTGTCTAATGTAAGCAAAAGTAAGAGAAAAAAGATTTTTGTATGTTTTTATCTAGACGTGACTCTTAATGCCTGGGGGGTGAGGTATAGGACTTAAAAAGATTTGTCATTGAGGAACAGAGCAGACTTTTTCTGATCTCTCCATAAAGACATCTGGTGGTGTAAGCACAGGCTTACCAGATATGGCAAGTGACCTACTTCTGACATGGCTGGTAGTGTGTGCAGGGAATGGGCTTGAATTGAGAATTAACTCTCTGGAATGAGCTTTGAGGAAGCATCAGTTGTTGCAGTGTTTTGTTCTGACCTATGTGCAGACCATGGGCAAATTTTGTTACATAACTTCTGTTTATATTGAAGTGTTGCCTGATCAGGCTGCCATGGTTAAATTCTTAGCAGAATTTTTCAAGGGTTCTGGAAACAATTTTCCTGTAAGATAGGAAGTCACAGCATAAAATATATATTTCTGACTGTAATGAGTGATATGATTGATATTTTTATAGCAGAGTCTGTTTTTGAGGGATTTGTGTGAAAATGTCTTTTAGACTGGAAAAAAGCAACATGAACAGTATATTTGATTACTTTGTTTCTTACTAAATTATCTTTTTCCTCTTCTAATAAACAAAGCCCTCTTCAAAGGCAGTAAAGGGTAGAAAACAGAAGGGAAAATGTATAAATGTGAGATACAGTAAGATTCTCTTTCATATTTACCTCTTCTAATGCTTGTTTTTCTCTAGGTCATAGTTGTAACCTGGAATAATTTACAATGTTTTTAGCCTTAAGGATTCATTTTAAATACATAAAAGCTTCTGTTCAGTATATTGAAAGACAGGAGAACTGAAGTTCTACCGTTACATAATATAGTTATTTTATTTCTAACTATTAAAATTTTGAACTCAGGAGTATGTTAAAGAGTTTTCATATACAGTTGATCCTATTTCTGAACATACTGGCACATACTGCTTGTGTTCTTGTGTTTGCCTCTATTTTTAGGGTATCTGTACATCTTGCCCACAAGAGAATAAAATAAAATACATGAAGTGTAGAGCTGAGTAAGAGCTGACATAAGTTGTTTGTTTGGTTTAGGTTTTTTTATTTGTTTGGTTTGTTTGTTTTTGAATGGGTGTATGATACAAGAAATGTAATCAAATGTGTAGTTTATTACTGCTATGAACCTGATGGCAAGCAGGGTCTGAAAGTACTTCTATATAATAACTATTACAGAAATAAGTCAGTCAGTTACTAATCTCTCATTACTCATCTTTCAGAGATACTCCATTTTTTTCCTAAAAAATAGTCATATTGATATTTAGCTTTGAGGGATTTTTTTACTTTTTCTGTGATCAATGTTGGTAAATACTTCAAACATTGCTTGCAGTTAGTATGATAATATTAACTCTCTACCTTATTAGATTACAACAATATTAATGAAACTGTTTCTTGAGTGTTTCAAAATATGTAAGAAATAGTTCAATAACTAGGACTGATTGTGGCTGAACAGGCAAAGGCTGGTACTTAAAAGGGAATGAAGTGGAATAAGCTGGTAGACATGAAATTGCAGCCAAGTGCCAGCCTTGCAGCAGTAGTATCAGGGGGTAGAAGAGCAGACTTTGAGACCTAGAGAAAGGCCATAGGCATCTTTTTGGTTGCACATTTATTTACTACATGTACCCCTAAATGATGCAAAAGCAATAGACCAAGCAATTTGTCTTCTCTAGTGGTTATGCCCATTTGAAACCTCCTACCCATATACTAACTTGAGGCTTTTCTTTTCCCAGTGGTTTGTTGATAACTTCAGTATTTGTTATGTACACTTTCCATATGTGTTGTTATAATAAATTAAGATGAGATTTTTGTTAAGTGTCATTTTTTATTACTGATATGTTTCATGGAACTGGAAGTCTAAAGGTATTCAGCATGCATCCTGATTCTAAGGAACAGGGAAGATAATTTTAGTTGGTAGAGTGGCTAAACTTGGAATCTTACCCTTAATATGGTTTAGATTTTTGAGCCTTCTCAGGCTATTTGAATTTTCATGTTGATTCTGTGATCTAATTCAATTAGCTTTGAAATTTGCTTCTGAAGAAACGTTTTTCTTCCAGACTGTTTCTGCTGGTCATATTGCCCTCTGGTGGCTTGAGAACTGTTGGCACAAATGTAAAAGCATCTCAAAAATGTTAACCTCTGTATAAATGTATACTAGAGGAGAAGAAGGGGGAATTTCCAACTAAGTTGTTAGGACAAATTACATGTGGGGTTTTGGTGTTTTCTTGTTTATAGGGCTTTTACTTAGATAATCATCAAGCTTTCTACTGTAATTTACAGTGATATGAAAAGCCAGTAACAGTGGTGAAGTTTAAAAACCAAAACTTTACTCAAATGTCTTTTATTCTGAGTAGACATAAGAAACAAAGTTTCTAATTCTGTCCGCAATAATAATTTTAAAACTCTTATACAAATCCATTTTTCCTACTTGTTTGCTTTATTTTAACAGAGACTAGGCATGGAGGAAGCAAGAATGGAAAGAAAGAAGGCCTCTCTGGAAGCTCTTTTTTCACCTGGTTTATGGTAATTGCATTGCTGGGAGTATGGACATCAGTAGCAGTTGTTTGGTTTGAACTTGTAGATTATGAAGAAGTTCTAGGTAAGAATTTTAAATCCTAAAATGCTTCTAATTGTTATTATGATATGCATTAAATAGAGGCGATTTTAAGTTTCTAGATAGCTGAATTGACAACTGCGGTGTTTGCAAATGACCTGCATGATAAGAGTAGGCCATGTAGTTCAGAAAGTCCATATTAGTTCTGAACTCTCTTATGATGTTAAAATGGGATCCTCATAAGACTGGAAAAGGTTATTAACATACTGCATTTATTAAAGAATTAAAGAGCTTTTTAAGGATAGATCTGGATCTCTTTGTAATGTGTATACTGTAGTTCATTTGAAATGACAGCTAAGTATGCATTGTTTCAGTTTAAGCTTTCAGAAACTTGCAGCGGTGGTGGAAAGTGGGCTGATGGTCTATGTTCCCTGTAGAGTCAGGACAACTGATCAGTCATCCTCTCTTGAATGAGCTGTTGAATGACCTCAGTTTTAAACCTATAATGGAGACAAATCTATTTCAATGTGACAATGTTAAGATAGTATTGTTAATATAATATCTAATGGTGAAAATTAATCTCTCGATTTTCAAAATTCATGTCTGTAGGTCATCACATGTCTGTGATGTTGTAGAATTCAAGTTGCACTTTTGCAACTGCTCGTTTTACAAACTTTACACCTTCCCAAGTCTGTTGGTACATGCTTTTTTGAACTGCACTGGGTTTAAGAGAAGCTTCTAGCTTGAAACCTATTTGGGTCTAGTGATGCAAATAATGGTTTCTATATTTTTACCATGCACGCAGCCAAAGCAAAGGATTTCCGTTATAACTTGTCAGAGGTCCTACAAGGTAGGATATTGGAGAAATAAGCTTGCTTTTCAATCTCTTCACTGAAAACTTTCTTTTACTTTTTATTAATTTTTTTTTAGAGAATTACTATTTCTACAATGACATGAAAGTCATTTCTCATCTGTCTCATTCTGCTTGGTTTTGATGATACAATTCTTATTACTAGAGAATTACATTTATTCCACCAGTCTGTTTTGTTTAACCCTAAAACAATAATGATCTTTTCTAATTGATTGCTTCCATACCATGGTCATGGCTTTATTTTTGTCTATTGTAGACTCAAGTCTGAACTTTTTCATCCATGAGACTGTTTTCAAATTTTCTAAATGCCATGTTAAGAGCTATATTTCATTTCTTTTAATGGCAATTAAGTTCTGCCTCCATTTAGAGAGTGAGAAGTGTAATAATAAACAGGCAAACTGTAAGGATTTTGAGTTCTTCTGAGAACAGTGTGCAGTTTAAATCCTGTTAAGTTATGTGTGAATTTTTTGGAACCTAATTAGGTAGCTCTCTAGTTACTTGGTGATCCCAGGACACTTATACTTCTGGATACCATGATTCTATACTAAAAATAACAATTTTTTTTAGAAACTGAGTTCTCCTTTTGCATGTATTTAGGGCTAGTAGAGCTGGAGCTTTAAAAATAGAAGTATTAGTCACCTATAAAAGAATTAACAACTTTTTTGTCTGTGGTAAATGTTGTTGATAAAAGTTATGAATATTTTTTCCTTTGTCCAGGAAGTAGGTTGCTTATCTTCTGTTAACTTGGCATTAAAATTACATAACTATCTTTTTCCTGAGAATTTGGAATGTCAAAAAGCATATAATAAAAAAAAGGTGATTATTTGGTTAATCTTTGTTTTATTATTTATTTTCCCTAACCATATTGAACGTTCCTTATGAACTTAAATTTTATACTGAGCGAAGTATGTTCATGTAAAGGGCATTATTTAATTATAGATCTGTTATAAATCTGTGAGCACCAAAATAAATATATGGGAAAAAAGACTAACTTGTCTGTGACATGCAGAAAGTAACCTAAAATGTTTGTACAGTTTTTCAGGAAATTTAAAATGTGGTTAAGAAGAGGAGAGATAAATAATTAAAAAATATTATGATAACCTAGCATTGTAGTCAACCATTGCACATTGAAAACACTGTGCTGTAAGCAAATTGCTGAATCCCTAATTCTCTTTTCCTCTCTTTGCATTTCTAGGCAAGCTTGGGATGTATGATGCTGATGGAGATGGAGATTTTGATGTGGAAGATGCTAAAGTGTTGCTAGGCAAGTACAAACAAAGGTGGAATCATCTATGTAATTCACTTGTCATTATTAATATTCTTTTTTCTTTAATGTCAAAACAATATTTGTATTTCGTAATTGGTGAACTTAAACCAATTGAATTGTGGTGGGTTTTTTTTTCCTAATGCCAGTTGTAGCATTGTGTGTGCAGCTTGTAGCAAGTTGTGTTCTTTTTCTCCTAATATAGCAGCGCAAGTGGAAAGCATTTAGTTACTTACAGTATGATTTTGAAGTTAAGTAGTTGATGTTGCTGTATTGACTGTTGCAAGGTGTTTGTGATTATAAATAATTGTATCAGATGCAGGGCTTAAGAGGCTTCAAGAGTTGAAATGTTATCTTAACGTGTTAAGCCAGGTCCATTTTAAAATGAGTTCTAACAGGCCTTTGTACTTCTCTGACTGTTTAGCATATTTTTGTACTGTCTTTGTTCTTAGTTCTCCTCAAATCTGTTCATTTTCTTTGCCCTTCAGCCCTACATGACATGGATTTTTCTTCTTTGACATGGAAACATTTGGTTTAGGCTTCTGTTCGTTGTGGTATGGGAGTGTCTTTGTGCTCACTCTGTGTCTTCAAAGAGAAATTTCAGACACTAGATGTGCTTCTTGATATTTCCCTCCTACCCACATCCTGTAGCAGTTAAAGCAATACCATCTTCAGCTTCACAGTCAAGCACTGAATAGATACTTCTTGCATATCTAATGTTAGAAAGTTTGCTTTTCTTTAATTGATTTGTTAAAATGTAAACCTATTCTGAGCACACAAATCAAACAAGTTAAACACCTTACCAAAAGAACAAAAAGCCAGCATAATAGCTTGAGCAAAGGGCAAAGTGGAATGCCTCAAGCTAGTCAAAGTTATCTATAGTGTATCAATAGTATATTAGGATGTTATGGTTTGCTGTTTGAAACTCATACTCCATAAGAATCAGTTTATCATCAGTTTATTTTTCCCCACTTACGGCAGAAGTAGGAAAGTCTTTTGGGGGGATTAATTTGTTTAATCCCCTAATTGTTAAAGAAAATCTGTGCAATCAAAATTACTGAACCAGTTTGCAGTGGTGTGAATGAGAGAGATGCTAAAAAAAATTTCAGTGCTCTGACTGACTTGAGAGCTACAAATTGGGCCTTAATTATAAATCGTGAATACTGTAAGACTTTGAATAGTTACAACCCTAATCTTTCTATTGTTTAGTGTATTGTGTGTAGAAACTGGTTATCAATCTTCTGTGGGTCATATTAGCTGGATTCACATTGTCAGTGTGGTACCCAGAAACATGCTGCTGCTTTGTTACATCTCTGGTTTATGCAACTTGATATAGCTGGGAATTCTGCCAGTACCTGACGGTGTTTGACAGTGTTTCTATTATAAGCCTGTTTTATCATATGTTTAAACCTTATACTTCAATGTGACATTAAAAGGTCACAGATCGAAATTTTTTTTAAAATTATTTTTGAATACTTGCTTAGAAATATGATTTAATCACATTTAAATGTTAAGACTATTTTCTGTGGTACCATGGAAGTGTTAAATTTTGAATAGTTACATGACATTGATAAAAATTATCAACATACAAGTATATTCTATTGACTACCATATCGTATTGTTAGCTGAAGTTACAAGTAAATGATTGTACTTGTTTGTATTTAATATTCATTATGAACTGAAGAATTAATACCACTATGCAGATTAAAATGATTTCACTGATGCATAAACTGGAAGACTATGTTTCCTGTTGAGGAGTTTATGTTCCAGAATTAAGCCTTTCTAGTAAAGAAAACCGCATAGTAAGCCTATATCCAACTTCATTAGGGTAACTTTCTAAATATTGACTACGTAGTTCCTTTTATTTGTGAGGATTTTGCTTGTACATATATGCTGTGTTTGAAGACATGTTACTTTCTGGGATTTTTCTTTGGGTCAGACTACCCTAACAGCAAGTGGATTCTCTGCTGACTTAGTATTGACTTAAAAAGAAGATATCCCTGTTTGATGTTTAATGCTAGGAAGTCAAATGGTTTTTCTTTTCTGTTCTTTAGCTGTTTCTGAGAGGCTTCTTAATCTGCTCCTTTGAGAGCTGCTGTTTTCAGTAATTCACTTCTCACTTTTATCCACTTCATTCTGATTGATCTTTGAAGGAAGTTATCCTGATCAGGAGCAGTGTTATACCTCTGTACTTGCTTTAGCTCTGCACAGAGAAACAGTGGCTTCAGTAGTATTAGACAAAAGGAAATATAGGGAGTACCAGTGTCTGTTGTAATAGAATTTTTGGATATGAGCCATTTTTTGTACTTTTTAAAAAGCAACAATATCCTGAGCAATTCTTAGATGGCTGCAGTAGTTAGTACAGGTTTGGAACTGCAGCTACAGAAAATCATCAATATATTGTACTTGTGCATTTAGTTCAGAGTAGGCCACTTATGCAGAAAATAGATAACAAAGATCTAGTGTATCACCAAAAAAAGGGTAGTAAACAGTAGAATACAAACTTCTGTAAAACAATTATTTTCCCCCTGGCTCAACATTCAGAAAATCTGTGGTGAGGTAATAGGAGTTAAGAGAATGCTTTAGCATGGTTCAGCTGTTCAGGATAAGTTTCATACTATTCTCTATTTTTTCACGTTCTTCTGTAGCACCTAAAAATATTAAAAGCTTGCATGTGCTCTTTCTCATAAAAGGTGTCTGCAGGAGAGGCAAAGCTCTGTTTTGTTAAATGACTGGAGCAAGCCCTCTGCCCCACTTGTTGTTGTAACACTGTTGCATAGATAAAGACTTTGTCTCCTTCAATCACTGTTAAAGTTGCAATATTTAGACTTCTCTTGAAATAACTTATTTATTTCCTGTGGGTCACTGGTTTAGCATGGTGTAGCTGCCTGATTGGGCAGTTCTGGGTTTTTTTGTAACCCTTAGTTTCAAAGGCCATTATATTAGTCTTCTGTAGTTTTTGTAAAGAATTGTAAAGAAAGGGTTTGAGATTTTGTTGTTTAGCGGTTTTATGGTACAGAATACATGATGTATTCTTCTAGTAGCTGTGGTTCCATTTGGTGTCCCCATGTTTTTAAAGAAAATACGCTGCTGTACTCCATATTAGATTTTATAAGATAATTGCCCAAGAGTCTTATTCTTCAGTTAGTGCAAGAACAGGAGGATCTGTATGATACCTCATGTGCATACAGAAATGCTATGGAAAGCCTGGGGCCTTTTGTGAGTGATCCTTTTTTTGTTGTGGGTGTTTGTTTTTTAATGTCAGATTCTGACCAAATAGAGGAATAAAAATATTTACAGTTCTGTTTGTAGCTTAGATTTAATTTTATTTTTTTTCTCTAAGATTCAGATTTTGATTCTTAGATTGAATTTTCATTTTTCAATAAATGTACTTACTTCGGTTTATGTCTTTATATCTTGCTTGTTCCAAATTTTGAAAACAAATTAGAATGATGACTGACTACCATGCATAAAGTTAAGTCTATAAAATTTTAATTTTTATAGAACTAAGCCATGGAAGAAGTTGGAGAGGGATATTTTTAGAATACCTTGATTGCCTCCTGGATTCAGTCTGTCATTTTTAAACCTTTGGGCTATCCAGTGAAAAATTAAAGAGAATGGCTGGTCACACAAGTAGAGGTTCTGGACATCCAGGTACAAGGATGTGGAACATCATGGACTTGGAAGTTTCCTCAGAATTATCATTGATACTTTCATTATGTGCTGTAAGAAAAACATGCTGAAATGTGTTAAATGTGTGTCTTGAACTTCTATATCTTGAACGTTTCATTAACCTGCATCTAATACTGCTTTTTAGTCTGCATGTGCAACTTACTTAATTTTATGTCTCATCAATCTGTCTTCACCCTTAGCCCACTTTTCTTCTTCCAACACAAATGAAGGTTTGTTCTGGTTAGGAGTGGGGGGAATGCCTGCCTCTTCTGCTTTAAAGCATACCAAAACTTCACATTTGTCATTCCTTGGTCATACTTTTCTCAGAGTGGAAATTTTATTTAGCAATAACTGTAAAACAAAATTTTTAGATTAAAAAAAGCCAACAAAACAAAACCCCAAACACATTAATCATAGCTTATTTGTATTTTACAAACACCAGTTAGATCAGTGGGTCTTGTAGCCCAGGGTGTCATCACCCAGGACAGCAACTCCTGGTATTAGAGTTTAGAAGTCTTGAGCTCTTTCTTTGCTTCTCTGGCCATCTCTACTTTAGCTGTCTTTAGCCTTCTGTAGATTTTCTTTGTAACAACACAGACACCTTTTATATTGGCTACTTATTCGTTTTTATCTAGTGTTTTGTATATCCTCAGGTTTGGAATTAATTCCTGAGGATCAAATATATAATGAACAATACATATAATAGAAAAAAATAATTGAGAATCATGTTAAAAACAAGAAAGCAAGCAAACACGCTGCAAAACACCACACTGTCCCCCCCCAGCAATGAGAGTCCTCACTTCCAGGCAAACTCAAAATTCTGCATGGTAGAATAAATGTTATCCTTAACAGTATGTCTGTGATAAGTTTTTTTAAATACTGCTTGCTTTTAAATGTTATCAGCTATCAGCCGCAATCTTTCAAATTTGAACATAATGTGATTTGTTTTTTTAAAAGGCAAATTGGATTATTTTAATTAGTGAAGCATTACTGTTAAACAGCTGCCTAAAGACAAATACTGTAGCAAGAAAACTGAATAAAAATTGATTTGGTTTTAGGACTAGGAAGGAGGGAAAGCAAATCTGCCACTTCATTTAAAATTTGGGCATAATACTGTGCATGTTTATTTTCCAAATTATAGTCTGTTTTGAAAGATTCAACTTTCTTGACTTTTTTTCTATTTCCTAGTTAGCATTCCTGTAAAGACTGCTGTCTGTGACATGAGATGTCTTTCACAGATCCTCCTTTTACAATTTCCTCTTTCCACCTAACTGCTATCTCTTTTTTTTTCCTTCCTTCCCTCTCTCTCTCTCTTTCCTCTATTCTTG